TTTGTTATGGCCGGGCTTTATTAACCGTTGACATTTGTTTAAGGCACGTCGCTTACAGTTAGCCCCATTTAATTTGGAAGGCACTGCTGAGTGCCGTTATGGCACATTTTCATGTTTTGTGCCGGCTATTCCCGAGAAAGACACTCTGCTCCAATTTCAATTTGCCGTGCGACAATTACAAAACTCCAAAAGATGGCCGGAGCTGCTAAAGCTGTTAAGCGCGCTGGTTAAGACAGCTTCGGTCCGCTGGCAATTGGAGCGGTTGCTGCACAAATCAATCAAATCGAATGGCAGTCAATTTGTCTAATGAGCTGTTGCCACAGGTAGCCAATTGGTCAAGTGACCAGGCAGCCGAGGTGCAAATTGAATCGACTTAGACTGAATTCAATTGTCCAGGCGCTGCAACGCTTCGCATTTGTAATGCGACTCGATGCAAATGCGAAAGGCAGCACCAACAGCAGCAGCAGGGGCGGCTGCCTGTTGCACCCACTTCTGATTAATTGAACAGACATAGATGCAGACGTCGATATACATAGATATCGATTTGTATGTAGGAATCAGGCGCTCAAAATGCGCATTTAGATGAAGCCGCAATCGTTCGCCTCAGACCAGCCAAGTCGAAGGCAAAGCTTGCGGCTTATCGACAACTAGCGGCAAGTACATTCAACTCTTCTACACTGATCAAAGCACAGATAAATAGGCAGAGAGAGAGAGAGAGAGAGAGAGAGAGAGAGAGAGAGAGAGAGAGATAGATAGAGACGAGAGAACAATAGAATGGCGTTGACTTCAGTATACTCTTTCTTTATGGTCATTAGAGGAGCTCATGAGCAGAAGAAATAGCTTGAGGGGTTATATACATAGTATATGTATGTGCTATCTATCGATTGAACTACTTTCTATGCTAAGTTACACCATGGTATGCACCATCCAATCCAATTCGCTTGATAGCTAGCCCTTACTGTAAATACACAAGTCTCTTCATTGACTATATAATATTCAATCATTCCCACCAATTTTGACTTAGGAAAAGACAAATTTAGCTTATTTTAAAACGTAAATGCTGATCGTCAAGGAAACAGACAGGTGAGGTACATGTATATTTGCCAATATGTCGAAATAAAATCAGACTCCCTCTTGAAAGGTATGAAATGCATCGCCGTTAATCGCTGCATATTTATGGGCCCCACCATTAAAGATTACTTGAAGAATTCAATGGAGTGCATAGCTTAACATATCTTTAAAAAGCGGCATGATTAAACTTAACCGCAAAGATATTCCATTATATCTAAGAACATTCCAGGCATTCCAGAAGGCAACACTCTCTTGAGTAAGATTACTAAATATTTATAAAAACCTTCGGGAGTTTTAAATTGCCAATAGGGAATAGGTAAATTGGAGGACATGCATATACATGGATAACATGTATATAGAAATACACATCTGTAATAATAATATTATGTTACCATTTAACTGAAATACTTGAAGTTTCATTACAAATACGAAAAGACTTTTTCGACTACCCAATATAATATCAATGAATATAGTCAGCTGTTAAATATAACTCAATTTAGTATATAAACAAAAATACATAATATAATATACAT